GGCGAGCATGTTTGGTGGGACGGGGATTCGAACCCGCGACCTTCAGATTGCGAGTCGAGTGCCCTAACCACCTGGCCATGCCGGGCCGTGACAGAAAGAAACAGACTGTAGTAAATGCGACAGTACATTCTCGTAAATGACAGTTGGGTAAAGCTATTACTTGTACAATTACCACATGTTTTGTTTGTTTGTTTGTAATTAAGCACAAAGCTACACAATGGGCTATCTGTGCTCTGCCCAACACGGGTATCGAAACCCGGATTCTAACGTTGTAAGTCCGCAGACATACCGCTGTGCCACTGTGGGCTACATGTTTTGATTTATTTAAATAAGTTAACACTAAAAGTTATATTAATTTAGGGTCAGTTATTTTCAGTACTTGTCGTGCACTAATTACCTGTTATACTTTCATATCGGTCAGAGTTCTAGTTAAAAGTCAATTAGATCACCTGTTTTGTTGTCAGTTTCTTACAGTTTATTCACGTCAAGCTACATTATTAATGTTACAAACTAAAAAGTAATTTTTTTTAAATTAACTTTTTTTTTACCCATGAAATTTCCTTTGTTGACTGACAATTGAAAATTGTGATGATTGCCCCCCCCCCCCTCAAGCGTTTACTTTTTATCTGCGCCACTGGACTGCACCTGTTGCCACGTGATGTCTGTAGCTATTATCAGGTTAATGTGTATACATTATTATTAAAACAAATGAACGAGTTTATTTCAGTTTGTATAGTTATTCTCTCCCCCCCCCAAAAAAAACCAACAACAACAAACACACACACAAAAACAACAAATTATTGTGGTTTTGTTAGTGCAAATCTAAACAACAGGCTATCTGCACTATGTCCACCGCGGGCACCCGAATTTTGACACTGTAAGCTGTGGGGAGTTATGTGTATGTGGCTCGTCCGCAAACAATGCTCTATGTGTAGCTGTGGGGAGTTATGTGTACGTGGCTCGTCCGCAAACAATGCTCTATGTGTAGCTGTGGGGAGTTATGTGTACGTGGCTCGTCCGCAAACAATGCTCTATGTGTAATATACAGGTTAGATATTTTCATAACAAAGAAAACATAACAGTGATACGTTGTCTTTGAAGAGAACTGTAGTTTATCTTTGAAGATATAAGATGTAATTAGACTTAATAACTCAACTTATAGGGTTCTAAATAACTCATCTTATAACAGAGTTCTAAGTAACTCATCTTATAATAGAGTTCTAAGTAACTCGACTTATAGTTCTAAATAACTCAACTTATAAGAGAGTTCCAAGTAACTCGACTTATAGTTCTAAATAACTTATCTTATAATAGAGTTCTAAATAACTCATCTTATAATAGAGTTCTAAATAATTCAACTTATAGTTCTAAGTAACTCAACTTATAGTTCTAAATAACTAAACTTATAGTTCTAAGTAACTCAACTTATAATAGAGTTGTGAGTAAGTTAACTTATAGTTCTAAATAACTCAACTTATAATAGAGTTGTGAGTAACTTAACTTATAGTTCTAAATAATTCAACTTATAATAGAGTTGTGAGTAACTTAACTTATAGTTCTAAATAACTCAACTTATAATAGAGTTGTGAGTAACTTAACTTATAGTTCTAAATAACTCAACTTATAATAGAGTTGTGAGTAACTTAACTTATAGTTCTAAATAACTCAACTTATAATAGAGTTGTGAGTAACTTAACTTATAGTTCTAAATAACTCAACTTATACAATTAAAACATTTCCTAGCAAACAGCTACTTTTCTAATTTAAAGAGGCCAACTTTCGCGGGCGAATGCAACATGTATCCCCCACGCAATCCCAACATGGCTGGCTAATTTTCACACCAGAAGAATCGTGATAAACACAGAAAAATCGAAAACTCTCTGTGTCACTGCTTGGGACCTGCAAGAAGGAATCAAATCCCACGTAAATTGGCTAAAGTACCGCGGAGGAATTGTCACAAAAGTTCCAAAATTGTACTTTTTGTGGCATCTTGACCCCCACACACATAATTTCTAAAAAATGTGCAAGTCCAATATTTTTGTTTATCAATGTGTGTTGCCTGTACAAAAGTAGCTTTGTTCCAAATTCCATATAAATTGGTCGAAACAAGGCTAAGTAACTGATAAAAACTCCTAAAATTATGGGTTTATTTGACCCTTTTGACCCCTAAGATAACCACAAATGGCCATTTTTTGTATGTATATGTAGAAAAATATCTTCGTACTAAATCCCACGTAAATTAGCCGAAATATGGCGGAGTAATTATC